TAGCCGTCGATCTACATGAATAGCAGCTTCCAATCATGAACTGAGTCCATGATTGGAAGCTGCTATTCATGTAGATCGACGGCTTCTGCATTGTTAGGCTGAATAATCCCTAGCAGGGCGCTTCCTGGCGTTGGAATGAGAAACTGCTCCAGTTCAGCCCTTCCCTTCAACTTTTCTCTTCGGTAGGATCGCTCCACAAGCTACCAATCACCCTACCAAGCCTTCCCGAGTATATGTCGCACGGGGTCTGTGGCGAGAGGGGGAACACATCTCAGCTATCAGGGGCAATGGTGAGCAGGACGCTTCTCAGTGGAGTTTCCCTATGGTACGAAGTGCCCTGGTTATCACTAAGCTAAGATACTGATAAGAGATTAATAGAGTACTACCGATAAGTATCCTTGTAGCTGAAGCTGTGTTATTTGTCCTGTTGACCGTTACAGTATAGTGTAGTCCCCCTGAGCCAGAAAAACTACCTCATTTGCAGGGCAACGTCAGATGCCTGATTCTCCGTTCGTGTTTGCGCTTTTCGATCTCATACGAAAGTTGAGCAGCAATTTCGATCATCAGTTAGCAAGGCGAATACTACGCGAAGCCATAGAACATCATCTCAAAGGGTCAGTGTAGTTTAGAAAAAAATTAAAACCACTGAAAGCGCTCATATTTCAGGCCGTTGGTACTAGAATGGGCACCTAACATGCGTGTTAATTTGGCCCCCCTCACTGGCCGACGAGTCGTTAACACTCAGCTAGGGGTTGACCAGACTATGCGAACCATTGACAAAACGTCGAAGACGATGGCGGACGAAGAATCCGTTCGTCGAAGCAGCGATCAAGTTCGGAACAGACAAAAAGAACGAGTCAAGGGCAGTCCTCGTACCAAAGAAACGCGAGGGTCAAATGAAGCTTCTGTGGAGGTACGAGGAACGGTGTCTCAAAACAGAGCGCCCTCTGTTGACGAAGACGGCGGCGTTAAACGTAAGCCAGTGGTGAAATACCTCGCCGGTCAGGTACCAGGCATGACTGCGCAGCGAAAAAAAATGTCGCCTCGTAAAAAATCATCAGCTAGGCGACAGCAGCAACAACAGCAGCGTCAAAAATTACCTCAACAACAGCAACAAGTCCAACTACAACGACAACAACAACAGAGGCTGCAGCAGCAATTGCAGCAGCAGAGGCAACAGCAGCAACGGCTGCAGCAACAACGGCTGCAGCAACAACGGCTGCAGCAACAACGGCTGCAGCAACAACGATTGCAACAGCAACGATTGCAACAGCAACGGCAGAGATCCAGAGACCAAGAAGAGGGAGACGATTAACCGTGCACTGTAATTTGATAACTACCAACTAACAACTGTCTTCTATTAAGTAGATCACATTATCACAGTTTCGCGAAACATTGAGCAAACTGTATTATTTAACTAGGTTTAATGCGTTCTGTTCTTATTTAGGCCCAAATAAACACTTTTGCTGATTAACTCACGTCATGAAACTCGTAGCAGCTTTGCACCTGTAACATCTGGCAATACACACGCTCACACCGCTAATGCTGGTCTCAGTTTTGTTTATTTTCGGTGAGTGGGTGCAGAACTGACAGCGGTTAGAGTTTGTGGAGTGGATATGTGGTAGAAAGGGCGTATTGTGATTAATATTTTCTCATTATTTTTATGTATTGTGATGATGAATGGCGTGTAGGGTGCGTTGAGTGGGTGAAGTGTACTGTGTGCGTTGTGAAAATGACGTGATAGCGATTATGTTATACGTTCCGTGGTGCAGTGATAATTCTGGAATGGTATATTCAGTGGTACTGTTTGTGGGTTTCTGGGCTGTGGTGAGGTGTCAGCTGTTGTAAACGTAGTGGTGTGGCGTGGGATTAAAAGCAAATATATGCACAAGATGTCTCAACGACGCGCAGTGGTACATGATCGGTAAATTGAAGCAACTAATGGGACCAAGAAAAGGTCTCAAGAATCACTGTCTCCTGAGCATACACGGCAGTACCGCACTGGGCGCTGTGAAAGCTACTGTTATTGGAATGAACGATAATATGATAGAGATGGAGGTAAATGTTTTGTATCAGCGTGTTATCCAAGTAACGAATTCTTTGTCTCAGATATGCTATCCGACGGCAACCCTCTCTCAAGTAAAATATGTCCTTCACGTGGAACCACTGGGACAGTTTTCCTGGAATATATGGATTCGTTTTGGACGGATAATGTTGGACAGCGCTATGCAGTAGAGAAAGAACACAAACATGCAACCTTAGACTCACTTCTGTCTGTGGGCGCAGACGGTCGGTTTGTGCCGGAAAATGTCAACAATACAACTGTGCCAATTGCAACAACAACCGTTAGGATGTGGACTAGAGATTGGGAACAGACATGGCTGTCGTCGATACGCTGGTATATCAACTCGAGACACGAAATGTAGGTGTATGGTGTTGTTGTTATTTTCCAATTTACATGAAACATTTGCAATCATGCGACTGCAATTACAGTTCACACTAGTCCGCCCACTTGCACGAAGTGTAGTCATTGCAACGAAAACGAGATATATGTACTTGGCATCAGAGTACGCAGCGAGGGATTGGGAGGCTATTGATATCAAGTGTCCGACGTTTGCTGTAGACATTCCGAAGGGAAAAATGTTAGATGATATGAGGCGGAGTGGCATGTCCACATTCACAGGGTTGTGTCAGAGGAATCACGGGACGGAGAGCTACGCGTCATAGTGCCGGTAAATGAGTGTTTTGTTCAGTGTCATTAACTCTATATGCTAAAACAGTATCAATTAGGAAACGCAGTACTCACCCGTTGAATCGCTATACAACGAATGGTTGGGAACGTGGACAAATGGATTGAATATCGCAGTAATATGGTTCTGTTTGGCGGTCATTGTACATCCGCGATGGGCAATAATGACCACGGCTGGAATACGGGCGATATTGAAGCTTAAAAGACGCGTGAACACCATAACAACAGCGCTGGAAGATAACGCCCAATGGAGGCAGCATTTGGATACGTACCGATTGCCACAGCCGAGATGGCAGCACCACCTATGGAAAAGAATAGTTTTAATAAAGCTTTATACTGAATTGATTCACTGTTTGGAAATCAGGAGAAGTTCCCAGTATACTTGTTGTGACTCATGTGTATTTACAATGCATTTTCACAATTCTGCACGGAAGTGTGGGTGTAATTAAGGCTTAAGCAATGGACCAAGGAATAGTAAATGTGCCCGAGTGGTGACCAGAAAACGTCCCGAAGAAACATCCCGCGACTGAGAGCACGGAAGAGATTGCCTGTAAGGCGTATTGGGCGACTTTGCGAAAAGAGACTTCTACAGGAATGGAGCCTTTTCTGGAGAAATAGCCAAAGCTGCCTGTGGAGCTAACTGATGGCAAGTATAAATAATGTACTGTATTACTGGTGCGTCAATCCCACACCTTTTCATTTCAGCCGTGTTTTACCCTGCTGCATCAGAAGATGGTGTCCGATTCTGTGTGGTCTGCGGGAAGCACGGCAAATTTCGGCTTGATAGGCATCTAAGCGAAACGCTAACGTTCCGAAGAGGGTGCTGAAACTCGATAGGTGAATCCACAGTGGCGTCTCTTTCGTGCATAGAAGTACATTTAAAATACACATGTTTGAGGCTTACAAGCAAGTGGGAAGAGGAATAGTCAATAGAATGACCATCACCTATGACTAAAACATGGCCTGAGCGACCGTCCGGAAAGATAATATAAAGCGGAGATTTATTCGCAGAGGCTCCTAGCGAAAGGGCCCGCGAGGAGAAGGGAGCGCGAGAATCCTTAAGAATTTGACCGGTTGCAGGCTTAGTACATATGTTTTTTTTATCGCCTTCTATCTGTACCTTGTGCGTTGAGCTGGTACAAACATGTGTTTATCCAGCTTCTTCAGGTATCAGATACGGATTTCAGGTTGTAGTGACTCGCGATAAGCCACAGCAAGATTTTTCGCCCCGATAGGCACTTTACCGCGACTTTTCGCGAACTTGCAATCAAATGTAGGTAACGGTACCACTCAACAGCATTTTTCACTTTATCATTAGTGAAAGGGATTCACTGCGAAAGCAGAGTGCTGCTGGGCCACGCACACATTGGGTGACAAGGAGCCGTTGTAAGCACACTAATTGTGAGCGTTGAATCGCAGTGTGATTGTTGTTGAAACGCCTTTGTGCGACAGTTCTCAGCTACTAAGCAGTGCCTTGCGCTGCAGCTGTACAGATGGTTATAGTTATCGGTGATGGGGAAAAGTCTGAATTGCCATCATTGTCTGGACCAACCTACGGTGAAGCGATAGGGCCATTACGAAGATTTGGCTGACACAGGCCAATCATTTACAACGGGTCTGCATATGCCGTATGTTCACAGGCCAATCATTTACAACGGGTTCTGCATAT